TTAGATACGATACCAAGTGTGAAGTGACTTTTGGGACACTGCAACGCATAAAAATGATTTGACTTCTATACATTATTTTTTGAAAACACTGAATCAATTTGTCTTCCTATGATCTTAAGAATGCGAATCTAGAAAATACACGTTCACACTAGAACTGAAAGTATCGAGATTGAAGTTAGGAATGCAACGGTGGCGGTGCACTGTCCACCGTTCAACGGTGGACCGATGACACCGGTGGGTGGTGAGATCGGTGAACGGTGCACCGGTCACTTTTTATCGGATTTCTGTTTGAATGTTACGTGATACATCCCAGAAACTTTCACATTTTATTTGCCGGTTAAGAGTGACCTGTTGTACAAATAAAGTGATTTTTGCAAATGTTCATCAGAGACTTGGCATGTGACAGAGAATCAAGCTGGTGAGGGTATAGCAATACGGAAAAAACCGTAACCGTAGGTACCCAGTCAAAATTTGTAACCGAAAAATGGCCTTAAAATGAGCGAAAATTTACATCATTAAAATAGTAAAAAACTGTTACAAATAACCATGTGAAATGCTTTGTGATTAGGTATTAAAATGGTTAATCTAATGAAGATAAAATGATTCAGTGTTTTCAAAAAATAATGTATAGAAGTCAAATCATTTTTATGCGTTGCAGTGTCCCAAAAGTCACTTCACACTTGGTATCGTATCTAACATAGATCTTTAATATATGGAACCTAAATCTTATTCATATAGATACTCGTACTCAACAGTAAGAAACATAACTATTAATATAATTGCTTTCGACAGCAATAATTTCTTGAAGAACAATACAAATGTATTTTGTTTACTTTTGTATGATTGTAACAAAGTTTAGTTGTCATGCTGATTCACTAAACTTTCTAATTAAATAGAAAGTTTAGTGAATCACTATGACAACTAAACTCTGTTACAATCATACAAAAGTAAACAAAATACATTTGTATTTTTTTTCAAGAAATTATTACTGTCGAAAGCAAGTATATTAGTAGTTGTATGTTTCTTACTCCTGAGTAGAAGTATATATATACATAAGATTTAAGTTCTATATATTGAAGATATATGTTAAATGCAATACTAAGTGTAAATTGACTTTTGGAACACCCCGTGTATAGATTAATAAATGATTTAAGTGAAATTACAAAGAATCTATTTTGGAATTAACAAACTAGAATATGGAAAAAAAAGTTATGCGATTGTGTTGGATAGATTATGTGAAAATTTGATGAAATGCTTTAAATCATAAAGAAAAGCATATTTTCATCTAAATAAACGATGCCTGCAGATTTTTCAATTTAATTGAAACAACATTGTCAGTTAGACCTCATATTTATGTCACACATATGAGCATGAAGATACTTAATGTATGCCGAAATGTTAGTAATTGACCACAGTAGTCGTCTAAAAAAGGAGAAATATCTCATGAAATATTTCATCCGCGAAAGAATGATTAATCTATTTACTAAGTATTCTAAATATTCAACTCGTCTTTTGATTTATTCACTTCTTCGTACAAGAGATATTATACATATTTTACTCAATGTATTCTCTATAAACGCGATGCTACTGGAGCATATTCTTTATTCTATAATTGTGTATTTAATTCATTTAGTTGTTAATCATCAATTAAATTAAGATTAATTTTTATCTTTAACAAAAAAAATAAAATAATGCTTCGCAAAGATCTCGAAAATGAAAAGTCAGAAAAAACTTGTTCAGACGCGAGCTGAAATTATCGAGATTAAATGAATATGATTTATTTTCAATCATCCAAAGGACGTTCCACTTACTTACAAATCCCGCTTCAAAAACACAAATTTGTAACATCTTCGTTGTTTGTCGCCTTTCAAAATAATTACAATGGAGACAACACAACGGTAGGCACCAGTGTACCCTATAAGCTCATTTTATTTATTACAGCTGTATGAACAGGTTATAATAAATAAATAAACAAAAAACCGACAATGTTCTCTAGAAACATGTTGATATGCATTAAAAGAGCTCTCGTATTTACTATGTCTGATTTTAAACTCCTTTTGCACTTTCGATCAACGAAAAGACCCAATAGTTGTAAAAACAATTACTCTTTTTTAAGAAGATTCGGATTTTTTCAACAATCGACAGTCGAACTTTCGCACCTCATTTTGCAATCGAGCAAAGCTCGAATGTTATCTAATTTATTCTCAAGTCTAGAACTTCAATTAGTATTGAGATGCACGAATATTGCCTGTCTCTTATGAGCTTTTAGTCGAATATAAACATATTCTATCCAATGTTTTATAAAGCCCGCAATAAGAACGTATCCATCGTAAGTATCCATTATCTGAATCGTTGTTCCAATTATATTTAATCTTTCTTAGTATTCAATTGGCTATTAGCCATAACTATAAAGAGAATCTTTTGTAGATAATCTTTTGTATTACTTATGATACTTACTTCAATCTTAATGAAGTGTCGTGGTACTTCTTTAAAAACAAAATTAATACTTATTAGAAAAACAAAATTAATCATGTAAACGTACATTTGACCTGGTAATGTCACAAGAAATTCTGTAGGAATGTTTATATTATTTTCCATATTGGGTTTTAATGTCAAACGTATTAAATCAAAATCTGAATAAGATTTACCAATAATTCCAATACTATAATAAATATGTTTATTTCAATCAAGAAATTTTATTGCAATTGAATTACTTTTCTTTCAATTTAAATTGAATTTTAGGTAGATTTGATTGATTGTCCTTCATTCTGAAGATTTAATTTTTATAAAGCAAGAAAAAAATTAATTTATTAACAAATTGGATGTTTACATGCGAGGATTATCCAATGGATTCAATGGTGCAGGTAGAAGTGATGAATTTTTGTAAAACGAAGAACTGCATAAATATAATCTTATTAAAGTCTATCATTTTTTCAAATTATTTTACTTTAATATTTGTTGTTTAATAAGACGTTCTCTTGTTTTTATTCAGACAATAGAAAATATCACATATGCAACAACTATTTTATTTTTTACCGTTTCATTTTTTCTCTTTCTCGTATTTTACTTTCAATTTTTTCCATATTTAACTGTTCATTTGTCTTTTTATCTTCTCTCAATGAACTATAAAATCTAAATTTGATCTTATGAGAAACTACATACTCTTTAAATGACGATATTGTTCTTCAATAAGACTTTGATTTCGACTTTTTAATTGATTTGTTAAAATACCACGCATACGATTTTTACGTTGAGAAATAAATAATTTTTCTCTTTGACGATAATAAGGTGAATTCGTATCTAGTTCAAATGGATATAACTCATCGTTTTTCTTGAATTCTTCTACTATTGATAAATAGCATAGAATTTCGATAACAATCAAAAAGTCAAACCTTGTCTAATCAATATTACAATGAAATGTTAATAAATACAGAATAATAGAAACAACTTACTCATTGAAATCTTTTGTTAAAACACTTTTTAATTGTCTTTTTGACATATTTGGTTTAATCCATGTATTTGATTCGCTAGATATTTTATTGAAATTCCAAAACATTGAACTTGTACGTTGTAAAGAAATTTTTTTATTCTGTATTTCACTAGTTCTCGTAATTGCAGCCTTTTTAGCCATTGATTGTGAAAAAATTTCATTGCAATCAATAAGTTTATGTCGATTTACAGAATTAGTTAATGTATGATTTTTTATTCGACCTTCAAAACTCTAAAAAAAAACGAAATTTCTATGAAAATTTGACAGATTATTGCATCTATTTAATTCTAATTACAAAGTTTGAGGCTTTCATCTAAAACCCGAGTAACAAATATTATTCTCAAAGTCTCTTCGATAAACGTGTACCAAAACAAAACAATATTTTTCTTCATGTATAAAGAATTAGATAATTGATAAGATCTAATTTTTCGAAATGATCAAAATTTTAAGCAAAGAAGGTCTGTGATTTGTCATGCCATCAAACATGTTTTATCAATCGAATTGAGAGAAAGAATTATATTGCAAAAAACCTGAAAAACTCTCTTAATTATAAGTTATGGAAATAAATGAGACACAATAGAAGATTCCTTGAGAACTTTGTACACATGGGCATTAAAGAAGATCCAGGATCTTCTATTGTGGAGGGAAGATTAAACCGATCATAACTTTCGAAGTAAGTCCCATTAGCAGCCCAAGCCCTCTTAGGATATTCCTTAGAATAATGTCTTGACATATTAACATAATATCATTGAAAATGGTGTGGATCAGTTAGAGTTCTTTCCTCGGGAGTACAAAACTTGAACTCGTGTCATAAGTGCTTTGTCATGTTTTCTATCGACTTTCTTGCAAAATAATCGAAACTTTACGTTAAAATATTCCATTCTAGTCATCTTTCATCAAATTTTTCCAATTTTTGAAGAGCATTGATTCAAAGACGTGATTATTGCAAACTTTCATAAGAAAGACTGACTTTTCTAAATATCGATATATGATGAAACAATTCGTCCTAAGAGACTTCCAGATGCAGCCACCCGGTCAACTGCCAGACGACAAATAAATATCCCCTGAAAAACTTAAGCTATAGTGAGCAAAACTCTGCATATGAGTTGTTGTATGCTAGAAATTGATAAATATTGGTGAACTTTATAATTGTCCAATGCTCGTGATCACTTTTAAGGTTAGATTTCAGATCGTCACACGAGTTTGTACACAATAGAACAGCGAATATTTCAAGGTCAAGCACTGTTTTCTATCTACAAACATGACCAAAACAAGTGGAAAATATGGATGATGTCATTATTTATGATGCACCTGTTAGTAAAAGCTACAGATGTTAAATTTTGTAGTTTTTTAATACTAAATAGATACAATCATCTGCCAAAGTTTCAAAAAGCATCACATCATATTTATGTATCGATTTACTTCTGTCATTGGAATTTGAAGCATTTCAACATCACCATCAGCTCGAAATAATCTTAAATGTAGAATATAGAATTTTCGTTTTAAATAAAATTTCAAGTTCTACCGAGCTAATTCATTTCGAATTAAATCAAAATTTTGTCGATAAAATGTAATCCAAGTAAAATATGTTGAAAAAATAAAAAGAGATTCATATATAGTTCGATCAATATATGTACATGAATAAAAAAGACTTATTGAAAATATATAATTTTAAATCTTTATCATGTACTTAATTAATTCTTACTCGCCATTACGCATATGATGAAAATCTTTTAGATTAATACCTAATAATAAAATAGCATATTTACAACCAAGTTCACGTAGACAAGCAAGTAAATTAGCATATGCAATACGAATACGATTTTTTTCCATTTGTGAACGATCTCTATATTAAAAAAAAAACAAAGGATTTTGTTAATAATCTTGAACTTTTCATATTAAATCCACATATATCGTTCATTTTTTGGTAAAGTATTATCCATGGTTTCAAAAAACCAATAGAAATAATTAAGTAAATATAAAAGAAATTCATGTACTTGTGGCATGCTATTTAATCAAAATAAAATTTTTCTTTCATTAAAATATTCATTACCTCACATATTCTTCAAATTCAATTGGTATATAAAACATTTCACTCATTACATTCAGCGATGCTTCTTCAAAACAAAAAACAAACAAAAAAGATGACTTTTAACATTGAAGAAGATTCGATAAAATTTTGTTTCACTTCTAGTTGTCTCACATTGAACGAGGATCACTCCTTTCCTGTCAGAAATTTTTTTGAAGAACTACTTACTTTCAAAACAGATAGTTCTCAAGATTCGATGGTGTATAAGAAAATGTCTGATAGAGTTAGTAAAAAAATTAAAAAATCTTGATAGTTTTCTGGCGTAATATTGAATAATTTTCAATTATTTGAAGGATTCATATACCTCTCCGTCTTCACGGTCTCTGTCAATGAGTACAGTAAATATTGCTACAGACTTGACTCGCAAATACTTCTTTCAGTGAAATGTGAGAATTACATATAGATTGATATTAAATATCCTTTCGACAAAAAAAAAATCAAACTAACGAATAACATCACCAAGTGTAATTTTCTTATTATCTTTTGTTTTAATAATATATTGTAAAGGTCGATTTTGTTTTCGATAATGAATTGAACCAGATCTTAGATCAATTTTTAATAATTCATTTGAACTTGATTTTTCATTATCATGCATTCGATTACGACTTTAATCATATATCAATTAATCAATAGATTTTCACGTTCATTCATACCTTTCATAAACAAGTTCTTTTCTCTTTTCATCCCATATCCATCGACCATCAATAGGTATAGATAATAACTACAGATAAACATCTTAGATTTTTTTTTTTTATCTCTATTAATCAATCACCAACTTGATTAGTACATATCTCTGTTGGTCTATCCGAAGTTTGCATCATTTATAAAATATAATAAATTTAAAAGAAAAAAAAAAGCGCTTCTATGATCAATTAAAGTGTTTTTATTCATCTGTGAATAAATAAAAGCAGACAATGACAATCTTATTTTATATGTACATATACAATAGTATAAGAAGAACCACACACATTTAAACACCGAGACATTCAAAAAAAAAAAGAAGAAAAAGAAAAATCTTGTTTATACATCACTGTTATTTAAATATAATAAGTGTCAATATTGCACATCAATAATTTCATCTTGCTCATCATCTTCATGTGATGAAATTTCTGCACATATTTCTTCGCTACTTATACTACTACTATTACTTCTAATAGTTGTTTCAAGATGTTTAGTTGGTTGATGATCAATAATTGATGTTGATTGTATTGTTGTTCTTGTTGATGATGATGGTGATGGTGGAATATCATGTGTTTTTGAATGTTTTGATAAATGATCCGAACGCATAAAACGTTTACCACATTTCGGACATGCAAAACGTTTTTCACCAGTATGTGTACGTAAATGACGTTGCAATTCATCTGAACGTGTAAATGCTTTACCACAAAATAACCAATGACAACGAAATGGACGTTCACCAGCATGCCAACGAAGATGAGCTTTTAAATGTGATGTTTTACCATAAATTTTTTTACATATATGACATATATGTTGACGTTTTGATGCTGATGAGTCTGATAAAATATTTGATGGTTGATTTATACAATTTGGACAGCGACAACGTTTACATCGTCGTGTTACCGAACCAAATAAACTTGATGAATGTTCATTAACACTCCACCATTTATCTGAAGATTGTTTTGATGATTCTTTACGTGATGATAAAGATGTTTGAGGTAGAGGTGGAGGTAATAATGGTGTTCGAAATGCTAATGAAAGCGATGATGGTGGTGGTGGTGGAGAATTTGAACTTGATGAACTTGAATTGAAAGAATTTGATGATGAGGATGAACTATTGGGTGAATTTGATGATGAAAGTATTGCAGCAAGGGAATGAGGATGAATTGGTGGTGGTGGTGGTGGAATTGTAGAAAGAAAATCGATTGTATTAAGAGGAAATCTTGCTTGTAATAATTGTAATGCTTTATGTCGAATAAAAGCTTCTGTATGTAAACGATCTAATGATAACCATGATGATGATATTGGTGATGTTGGTTGTTTTTCAGTTTTAGTTGTTGAGACTGAACGTGGATTTAATGGTATAGGTCGAGCAATATTTGGATGAGACATTGTATTATTTGTTCGATCCTTCAAAACATTAAAACAAAAAATGAATAATTAAATAGTCAACATATAAATCATTTGACTGCTAATTGAACGAATCGGAAATGGTCATACGATGATTTCTCATTTGTCTATCAATCATGCGCACATACACCCGTCGTCTTTTATTTTTTGAAGTTCCACCTCCGAATAGGAAAATATATATATACGATCTCATGCATTTATTTTTCAAGTGGCTCGTCATTACTAACGAGCTGGAAAAAAATCGGGGTGTGGGTGGGAAAAAAGAAAAGATCAAAAGCAGACAAGAAGATTTGAATATATTTATATCTGCTAATTTAGCTTGAACTAAAACAGCACGTGTGTGTTTGCCTTGTTGTTTAAGGCTCATTATTCGATGCCGACATACATTTCTAATGTGATAATCTGTCGGCAAGTAGTCCAAATTGCTACTGCCTGTTTTCGTTCCTCTTTTCATTCTGTTTCTTTTTTGTTTTTTGAAGATGACGAGTAATATGTGTTCGGGTTAGTATCAACTTAATTGGACAACAAGCGAAGTGAGAGGCGGGTAGGCGGCTCGAATATTTATGCATCACAATGTGATGAAGTAGCGGTGCATATACGATTGATGATTAGTATGCAAATCGAAGAAAGCTTTAAGCTATAGCTGACCGTTCGTTTGATCACTATGATGATTGAGACCAGACGAATAGTCGTATTGCCCAAAGACTTATTTTTAAATAAGATCTCTGTTTTATTCAATATATAATTTACTAGAGAATTACAGTAATAACAGCAGGGAAAAAAAAACTTAGATATCTCTATACAATATATCAACACTAACTTAAGATTTATATTCGATTAGTAATCTTAAGATTGATTTTCTTGTCACATACTGGTAAAACTTACCATAATCAAGTTAGTGGGCGTGGAAGACAGGTTGTGTGTCGGAATGAGAAATGGATGAGCCAAAAGGACCATTCTATTTTGTCTCTAATTCGATTGAATGCAAAATAGACACACATATTCACACCAGTCGATATTTCTCTCTTATTCTCTCTTTCTCTCTCTCTCTCTCTCTCTTCCTCTTTTTGGCTTTTTTAAAGCAGTGTATCTATCTTTGACTCCGCCTTTGACACCATGTACAGAAGAAAGACGAGAAGCTTATTTCTCTTTCTCGCCTTTTCTCTCTTTCCTTTTTTCCTCTTTCTCTATAAATGAAGATGTTGTTTGATTACCCGTTTTCTCTTTCTGTCTCTTCTGTGAACATACCGTCCTTTGCGTCTCTTTACACATTGGTGTTCATCATCCTACGGTTTTGATTCGTATTGGTTGTTAAGATTAACAGAACGAGATATTAACCAATGAAAAAAGAAATAAGAAAAAGAGGAAAAAAAAAACAAGAAAAGGACAAGAAAGAAATAATATATGTACTTTCGTTTGCGTTTAATTTAGACAAGAAAACAACAAAAATTCGTTCAATAGAATAGGGCGGTGTTGATCAAAGTGAACAAAAATTTAATCTCAAACCGATCCTTTTTTCTTTGAGCTGTCCGATGTGTTGTTGATTCAAATAATCAGTCGTCTTCATTCATCAATGTGGAGATTATCGTTGTCTCTTTATAAACAGAACTTTATGAAAGAAATAATTGAATCAACAAGTATTGCGAAAATAAGACAATTGAAAAGTAAAAAACAAAGAAAGAAAAGATAGATTTTCCTAATTTGTTGTGCTTATTTCTTTTCGTCTGTTATTTCTTTGACGCGCATTAATGCACTTAAAAAAAGTTCAAACGAGAATAGCGACACACAAACATTCGTATATGAAGTGCCGGCAGCTATTTTGCTTCCCTCGTTCCATATACGTCAAAATGTTCAGATTAGAATGAAAGGCACATATATGCGTTCGCGCGCGCGCGCGCCTACTCACTTTTTTCCCCTTGATGATGAGTGGTAGTGAGTAGTCGATTTCAAAGACGAGCAAATATAAACAATCGGCAATTGAGTGTGAAATCGCGCACACATGAGTATTGAACCGGTAGCATTCACGTCTATAATCATTGAAAAATCAATAATTTATATATATAGGTCTACTATAAAAAAAAAAAAAGAAAAATCAACGTGTCGTCGATGGGTGGTGTCACTTGCATGTCACATTTAAAAAGTGAAAAGGTCGGTCGGTATCGGTCTGATCTTCAAAAGAATCCATTTGACACATATGTTGTGAATGTAGACATATAAGCATACATTTAAAAATTAGACCGATCTTCATCACTATCAAATTTTATTGCCTGCTTGCACACTTTTGTCAAGCCTATTATCATCATCATCATCATCACCTCTTTTGTGTTCATACATGCAATCACACGTGCGAGAATTTTTTTCTTCAAAAGAAAAACTGTATGCTATGTCGATTTGAAAGTATATATATATGCATATATACTTGAAGTAATTATCATTATCGCATTACTATTTAAAAGTCGGTATTTCTTTGAAGAATAAAAATAAGAAGAAATGAACTACCACACCCTAAATCTCATTTTTCTTCCATCTCTTTAAAGTCAAATAACTAATTTTGAGTATATGCACGCATGCACACGAAAGGTGTGAGATGAACATCAGAGTCATATTGAATGACAATGACATTTTCACTCAAGGGATTCGTTTTTTCTTCTTTTGCTTTTGAAATTTTTTTATTTTGATTAAAAAAAGAAGATAATCGAGTCGCCTTTTTTTTCTTAGATAAGACGTATTTTCAATTGAATATAGCCGTTTTTTTTGCCTTTCTATCTCAAATAAGCATGTTGCCATTGACACGGAAATTCAATCGTGCTTGAGAGATTCCAAACAATTCTAACAAGGAGAATGATGCGCTTGTGTACGTGCCGTTTTGATGTCAAACAGTGAAGTTCGTTGATTAGTTCATTTGCCCTGCCCTCATCATCATCACAGCTAGTTTGTCTATCTATCTATCTATCTATCTATCTATTTATTCTGCATGAATCAAAGTTTTTTCTTCTCTGTCGGTTAAATCATTATGATCAATAGTTTGCTTCATCGGTCAGCAGGAGGTCTGATATACATCACACGTCTTGTCGCACTCCCACTTGTCTATATAACTAGCCGTTCATTCTTTTTTTTTTTGTCTATATTTGTGTGTATGTTGAAACAGGCGGTTCCAATCACGCCTTTCGTTTCGACCGCAAGGGGATAAGGCCAATCAAGGCAGGCGGCATAAGATAAAACGGCGTGCAACAATACATACACACGGTCGCCCTTTCACACCATCATTCCGGTTGCTTGCTTTTTGTTTTTTTTTGTCTTGACCACTATATACACTACATAGTAAGCTCTCGAATGAAAGAGAAGATTAAAATGTAATGAAGAGAAACGCTTCAATCAACATCAGTATAGACCAATAATAGGTTTTCTTTTTTTTTTACTTTAGAACTTGACCTTGAAAAATTATCCGCTCACACAAATCTGAAGATTCATTTTCCTCTTCTTCTTCTTCTTCTTCTTCTTTTTTTGTCTGCATTCAAATAAAAAATCTATTGATTCATTGAACTGGCAGCAATTTATCGGATTAGGTGTGCGAGTACTTTCATCATCGTCTCAATTTCAAAGTGCATCCTCTTCTTGTGTTTCCACTTGATTAACGTCGGCGCGAACATTCTACATCCGATTTGAATTTCCTTTTTTTCTTTGCTTCTATTTCTTGAATGCCGTCATTCATTTCAATTCATTCGATCGG